GATGAGGAGAGCCAGGTTATGGTTAACAAAGCGTGGCCCGGTAACGACTTTAATTACGCTCCTAGGAAAGCACGGATAAAAATGGGAAAAAGACGTCGCTCCAGGCCGACATCGCTGCCGAGGGCCACGGCAGCCGCGCAGGCGGAAGCGTTTGTGTGAGTAGTCCTGGCCCGATGGGTGGGCACGGCCCCAGAGTTAGCTGAGATACTTCTCCCGGAGTCCCTGATTTTCAAGAAATTATACTATCAACTTTATATCGATTGATGGAATCTTGTAGTTCACATATTTTCGGTTTCAGGGAGTGTTTCTGTGTCAGCGTGCTGACCTGCCGATGGGTGGAATGACGTAGGAGTGCCTGTTGGAGAGAGCAGCAGGGGAAAAGGCTGCTAAGGAGTTGGGAGAAATGCTGAGGTTTCACAAAATGAGGTTGTGAGTCAGTAGGATGGTTGCTAACACTGAGGAGTCACGGGTTAAAGGTTCTGAAAAGTTTCTGTAGGGCGGACTGTGGCTTAATGCAAGGAAGTGTCTTCTGAATCTTATGTAGCGAAAGCCAGTTCCCCCAATCTTTTGGGGGTACTGGCAGTAAAATAAAATCACTACTCTAGCTCTAAAGGTGATTATGAACATGGAGAAGCAATGTTAGGAGAGTACGTGCAATGATTCCTGAGTCTTTGAATGTTACTTAGCAGCTGTTAAAGAATCAGGAGGCTATGAGTAGTGAGGCATCCACAGACCACCAGCAAATGCTGCATAGGCAGAATATGAGGTAACAACCAGGATAAACAGGCAAATTTTTTTTAAAAAAGTGACTTTTTATGAAGCTGGAGAAACAAAGAGTGACAGTGACGTTCTTGTTCTTTCTTTGCAGCCTAGATGAAAGGACTGAGATGCACAACTGGTAAGTGTGGCTTAGAAGCAAGTAAGATCCTTAGAAAATTTTAAAGTAAAATGTGCTAATTTTCTTCCTTGTTTTCCCCTTCTCCACCTCTTTTTGCCTTTCAGTTTCATCCCTGTTCTAGGCTTGGCGCTGTCAGTGACCTCTTTCGTGTACCCATAGGCAATTTCCTGCCCCTTTGCTTTCCCATCTAAGATGGTTTCCTGCATCCTACAGGTAAATTTTAATTAACGCAGGCAAAAGGGCCTCCAGTCTTTGAACAGAGTTTGAAGAAATCTTGCCTGAATGTTTCTGAGCCTTGTTCTGCTTCTAGCAGCTCAGCATGTCTTGGCTGCTCCAGCTCCGCGTGCTCTGACCATGAGCAGCAATTCCTCCCTCAGCAATGCGAAGGGCCTGAGGAACCTCACCACGCAGGAAGACGGGGCTGTCAGAGTCACCGAGTCCATTGCTATCATCGTCATTGCTATTTTCATCTGTTTGGGCAACCTGGTGATTGTTGTCACCCTCTATCGGAAGTCTTATCTCCTCACATTGAGCAACAAGTTTGTGTTCAGTCTGACCCTCTCCAACTTTCTACTCTCTGTACTGGTGCTACCTTTTGTTGTCACCAGCTCCATCAGGCGGGAATGGATCTTTGGAGTTGTTTGGTGCAATTTCTCAGCCCTGCTCTACATGCTGATCAGCTCGGCCAGCATGCTTACTCTTGGACTCATAGCAATAGACCGGTAAGCAGCTCTTTTCTAACGAATTGTAATGAATTGTGTAGTCATTCCATAGGGCGACTCTGTGGCTGTTCATAGGGCTGAGAAGCACTGCAGCGGATAATGCTATGCAGTATTGTGGCATCATTTTTCCTTCAGCCCCTTCTGAGATTTTGATACAGAGCAGAAGAAAGTGGTGTCATCAATAATGCAAAACGTGGACGTGCATCTAGTTTGGTTTTTTTAAAGCTGTTGACGATATAATAACATACTACCTGAGAAACAAGAAATAATGACTTAAAATTCCAGATCATACCCAAAGCATGCTCTCACATGTAGGAATAGGTTTAATAGCTGTGTATGAGACTTCAGCCAAGTTTTACAATTTTACTTGCAATGATATGTGTTTGTACATGTAATTATTGTTATAAACAGAGTCCCTGAGCCCGTTGAAGGTTTGGAGAGAACTAGATATCCACATCATTAAAATACGTTCTTTCTTTTATTGTACGTTTTCTGTGCTCCTATTAACTCTTTATCTTCTTGTCCACCAGGTACTACGCTGTTCTGTACCCCATGGTTTACCCAATGAAGATAACGGGCAACAGAGCAGTGGTAGCTCTTGTGTACGTGTGGCTACATTCCCTTATTGGCTGCCTCCCTCCCCTTTTTGGCTGGTCATCTTTGGAGTTTGACCAATTCAAGTGGATGTGCGTGGCGGCCTGGCATAAAGAGGCTGGCTACACTGCCTTCTGGCAGATCTGGTGCGCGCTGCTGCCGTTCATGGTCATGATGATCTGCTACGGCTTCATATTCCGCGTGGCGAGGATTAAGGCCCGCAAAATCCACTGTGGTAGCGTCGTCATTGTGGAGGAGGACTCCCAGAGGAATGGGAGGAAGAACTCTAGCACCTCCACATCCTCTTCTGGCAGCCGAAGGAACGCTTTCCAAGGGGTTGTCTACTCAGCCAACCAATGCAAAGCTTTCATAACCATCTTGGTTGTCATCGGTGCTTTCGTGATTACGTGGGGGCCTTACATGGTAGTGATTACATCAGAGGCACTTTGGGGAAAAAACAGTATTTCCCCTGCCTTGGAGACATTAGCTACCTGGCTGTCATTTTCCAGTGCCATTTGCCATCCGCTAATTTATGGATTGTGGAACAAGACGGTGCGCAAGGAGCTACTAGGCATGTGCTTTGGGGATCGGTATTATCGCGAGTCCTTCGTTCAGCGGCATAGGACATCGAGGTTATTCAGCATTTCCAATAGGATCACAGGTAAGATGCGTGGCTGCAAAAACCAATCTTCCGTAACTTCAGTAAGAGCAAGGCTTAATGTCTATGTGTGCCTGGCATGTGTCAAGGCTCTCTAAACTGAGTGTGATGTTTCTGGAGGTTTCAGCAGTGTTTTGTTCAGGTTATCATAGACACTTGAAAGTGGATTATTTTTTTTGGGGGGGGGAATTAAACTCTTACTCTAGTTAAATTTTCTCTGCCAGAGAACACGTAGTGACAAGGTCAGTAAAAAATTTTCTTCTCTTTCAAGCGTTTCCTTTCATCTACCTACCTTTTGTGTTATCCAGATTTGAGGACTACCAGCAGTGAATCTTGCAGCGTTTGTTCTTTGATTCCTGGCTTTATGCTACAATTTTTTGAGATTCACTAAAGTTACACTGGTGTTACTACTTCTGTAAATTCAGTTTTTAGGCTTAATGGTTGTGAAGAAAAGACCGTAAAATAAAACTCTGTAAAAGAGTAAAACTGTTTGGTGTCTCCACAAGTTGCAGGCTGAGAGCTTCATTTGCTCTGAGTTTGTTTCTCAATGCAATGAAATTCTGATTTTCACTCATTTCCTTGATTCCGTTTGGAAGCTTCAAAAAATATGACATATTCATGGGGTCTTTTGGGACATTTCATACAGAAGCAGAAACTGAAGTTGTTTGATGGGGAAGGAAGACCCAAAATGCAAAAGGAAAGGGAGAGCAGCAAGGTATCCGTTATCTTTTCTGGAGCCTGGGATTACTGGCAGAGACTCCCATCTAAATGAAACGAGTTCTGCAGGTGCAGCTGCATGACAAGCTGCAGGAGCTCTCTTGACACTTCTCCCTTTGGCAAATCTGTACCCAGGAGATGCTGTGGATGAAGAGACGTTGAGAACTTGGGTGGGAGGGTAAAAAGCAGGAAGTTTCTCTTCCAGGTGATTCAGATTTATCAGGTGTATTAACTGGAGGCTGATGGGGGGGTGGAAAAAAGACCCTGATCAAACCCACAACAAAATCTCTTGAAGCGGGGTCCAAAGACAGCACCTTCCTAAGAATCCTAGAATCTCCTCTCTGTTTGTTTCGGGGATTGGAAAGCAGAGAGGCATCTCATGAGCTTCCTGCCACACCAGTGGCCTGTCACAGCTGCCGGTGGCTGCCAGGTTATCTAGAAGGTGTCTGGCAAATATCCCCATCTCTCTGAGGGCGGGTGCTTCCTGTTCAGCCTGTCTGGCTGATAAAAGAGTGGGAGGGAGATGGTGGGGGTAGAATGTAGACTTGCCCTGTGGAAAGACTCCAAGGGTACCTGCAAGCTGCTGACTGGATACCCAAGGTGGGAAATCAAGATGCTGCGCAGTCCGGGTCAGCAAGGTAGGTTTTGTACGTAGGATAATAAATAAGGCAGTAGAGTGGGTATTCTGGGAGGAAGTTCTTACTATGGCAGACCCCTTAAACATTCGTTGTGTAACAAGCACAAAACTCTCCTGCAGATTTGGGACTGTCTCCTCATCTCACTGCCCTCATGGCAGGTGGGCGGCCATTAGGAAACAGCAGCAGCACAGGGGACACAGGTTTCAGCTGCTCACAGGATTCAGGTAACTAAAAGTCTCTTGCTCTCTTTTCCTGGGCAGAAGATCGCACTTATACTTGGCAGAGCTCTCTGAGCTAGCCTGCGTTTACACACGTGGATGTCTCTTGGTGGATGAATGGCATAAAGCATCTGTTCCAGCTGTTACAACAAAACCGCTGCAGTTGCTTTTTGCCTCCCTTGCACTCGTTGTAATTACTTGCAAAATACTGTTTACTCTAAGGAATGATGACCTTCTCTTAAAAATGCCCTGGAAACAGGACCTGCTGCTTTTGTGCCCTTCTCCTTTGTTTTTTATCATTCTTCAAGGACTTTCCTGGTATCCCCAAGGAACAGAGCAACAAAGTGCTGTGGAGAGTGTGTGTCTCTGTTTCCTACTTTGTGAGAGACCTTGTCATGTTCATCCTGCAGAGTAAAGATAAATGCTTAGGATGGTTTTGGCTTATGATTTCATTACTACTAAAGATCTCTCAGCTGAGGATGGTTTGGAAAAGGGAAAAAGAGTTCCACCAGTAATTTTCTATCCAGAACTGTAGGTAGATTTTTCTGGCAGTTAATTCAGCTACCACTGCTTAACCACACCACACTTATTTTAAAGAGTATTTCTGCTCTAGAGGCAGCTTACAATGAATTGTAAGCAAAGACCAAGACCTATGGAGCAGTGCGTTGTACCTCCCCAGTGATGCCTTTCATCAAAATGGGTGCTGGAACACCTCCTTGTTGCAAAAAGAATAAATTTGCGGATCAAATGCAATCACGTGGGTGAAGAGGGATGTGAAGCCACCATCTGGAGGAGTTACTAAACCTCAGCCTGTTGTCACATCACAGGAGTAAATGGACTGAGAGTAAAGTGTCACACGTTAAGTGTGTGCAAGCTGTCTTCCAACAGCAGCTTCCCCTTCCCCAGGGATTGTTCATTCAGCACTGTCCCTGCATCTGCTTGAAATGCTTGTTCCGCTTCTCCCTTACAGAGCCAAAAGGCCAAAATTGCAAGGGAATTCTAGGCTGCCGTCTTTCCCTTTATGTTGAAAGCATTGCAGCAATGCCAAGATGAATTTCCTTGTGCTTGTAAACCTTATCTTATATTGGAAAGGTGCAAAGCAATTGCAGGGAGGTGAAATAACAAAAAAAAAAAGACTCCTAAACTCAATTAAAGACTTATCAGACAAAAGTCATTATCAACCAGCACAGGATTTTTCCCTATCAAAATACACTTCAAGAAAGTCCAAATAGGTTATCAGAGACAAATTAAATTGAACAGAAAAGTTCTCTGGTTCACATTTCCATCCAGATCTAATTACAAGCATAACATTTGGCAGCTATGGTCGTCTGCGTCTCAGGTATCATTACTAGCCTTTTGTCCCCATCAGGAAATTAGGGAAGTTGCCTGCAACCTTACCCTTTATTTACTGAAGGTAAGGTTTCACCTTTGCCTGCTGTCCTATTGACATTATAAGCTGTGCAGCTGAGTATTTTGGAGCTGCTTGAGGTTTTAGATGGCTAATGAGAAAAGATTTCCAAATCCTTTCAGTGAAAACTCTGACCTCGTTCTTTTTCTGTGCAGTGTTTAATTCGAACTGAAATTTACTCACACCAGCTGGGTTTAGACATCTTTTGAAGGAACCCCTATAGACTGGGAAGTTTGTGCCACCGCTTAAATATTGTGTCCCAGTGTTGCTTTGTTTTGCTTGAGAACTCTTGCTTTGTTTCAGGAACAGATGCAATGCTTCTTGAAGATTATAGCTCAGATGGCCCCCTTGCCCCACCCTGCGTCTGTCCTCCTCGAAGGAGGAGTTCAGTGACGTTTGAAGATGAAGTAGAGCAAATCAAAGGTAGGTTCAGGGGTAAATATGGAAATGCTCAGAACCAACTGTATTGTCTGCTCAGGAAGCCTCCCAGGACCTTCCAAGTTGCCTTAAAACATATCTGACTGCTGTTCACCTTGACAGACCTGACCACTCATGCAGGTACATGAGAAAGTAAGACCAGATTTTTCTTCCAGTTCAAAAGTAGCAGCAGACAAGGACAAGAGTTAAAAGCCAGGATTCCCCTCATACACATGGTTTGTGTTACGCAGCAGTATTCTCTCTGCAACCCCACTCCTAAGGTGGTTGTTACGGTCTGCTTTATGTTTGTCAAGGAATACATTTTTCTGCCTTTGTACTTTTGATTCCATTACCCCAGGTTTTTTTCACATTTGCTGCCTCCTCTAAACTTTCTCATTCCTAGACTTGAAATTCTTCTATTTATGGACTTTAGTGGTCTGAATATAATTTCATTCTGTTTCACTTTTTTATTTAACTTTTACTTAACTGAGTATGTTTCTCAGCAGATATGGGTGAAAATAGGTGGACCACAAGCACTTTTTTTTTTCCAGTCAGCTCACCTTTTGATTCGATGCTAGCAAAGTGTTGTTGTGATCCTCTATAAAACATGGTGAGGTTTAAACTGATAGTTATGCTAATATGGAGTAGAAGACTTGATAATAGCAACTGAATTTACTAGACAATAAATAATTGTGGACAGCACAAAAATGACCAGAATGCATTTAAGAATCAAGTAGTAGTAAAACCAGACTGATTTTTATGATTCTGAAATGAGAAGACTCTTTCTCTGGAACTTTGTCTTCAAACACTTTGGCAAAATTCACTTTTTGTCCTTTTCTCAGAATGAGCTGATTATTTCCTTGAGCAAATACATCACCGTGCATTTCCCATTATCTGAGTGATTACTTTGGGGTGGGCATCTAATTTTTTGTGCAGTTCAGTGAGAGAGGGGGGTCTTACTGCAAACGTTCCCCACCGGTTTAGCAATTCTTTCTGGTCTCAGGATCTCTGAGACTTTAAATTATTTCAGCAGCTTGACTGAAGAATTAAATTTCGGACTAACACCTGTGTTGCTCAGCATGTTGGTGGGTAGAGAGGTCTGTAGGTGCTACATAAGCAACTACATCAACACTGAGGAGCAGGTGTATCTGAGGTAATAAGAGGAAGTAGTCTACCGTATGCAACTGGAGTCTTCAGCCTCTCCTGGCATGGAGAGCTCTACAGCTTCCCCACTGGAAGTGGCAGTGGGTACCTTAATGCAGCTGGAACAAATTTAAGCCTAAAGGACGGCAGACCACTGATTTGAATCACCACTTGGAAGAAGCCCTTGGAATTTGGGGTCTGTTAATCCATAAGCGCAATATGTAGTGTTTAGGCCTAAAACATAATGTAAAATAGCTCAAGATCTTAGTCCAAACGCACTGAGAATCCCTCTGAGGCTGTGAGTTGCGCTTACAGCAAAGGAAGTACAAATTGAGGGTTCTACTCCTGGATGAATTCTTGCCTCATGCCAGATAATTCCCATTGTCCCTAATCCTGGATTCCAGATAGAAAGCGGAAATCAGGCTGGTGACTTCAGCTGGGTACAAATTCAGACCAATAAAGTCCTGTGTGCACAGGTTCAGGCTCAGAAGATCATTCAACGTACACTTAATTAAAAATTAAACGTTTGCATATAAGCACTTGGCTTCGTCAGATTTTGTTTTTTCATTTGAATGGGAAGTATCTTGCTCTGCCTGACCTGTTAAGATCACTCGGAAGCTTTGTGTTTATGGTATGGTTTAGGAACCCTGGGTATCATTGGTAAATGCCCTCTGTAGCATAGTTATTATGCAGAGGGCATGATCATACCTTTGTAAAAGGATCAATATTAGTCTTCATGGGTTTATCCAGCTATGCTCATCAACTTAATTTTCTGATATGTTGCTTTTTTTTTTTTCTTTCTTCTCAGAAGCTGCGAAGAATTCTGTTCTTCATGTAAAAGCTGAAGTCCATAAATCTCTGGACAGTTATGCATCCAGTTTAGCAAAAGCTATTGAAGCTGATGTGAAAATCAGCTTGTTTGGGGAGGATGCTTTACCAGGAGCTCTGTTCCCCATGCGAACTCTGCCAGGAAGCAGCATGAACACACGGCGTGGCATCAGGCCCCATGCTAGTCAGAGGCTTCAGCTGCAGAGCATCGATGAAGGGAGTATTTGACGGGAGCACTGGAGTGAGGAAAGAGAAGGAAACCACTAAGTGGGACCTACTACAGCTGTTAACTGTTTCAATAGAGCCAGGATACCATGTCGGAATATTTTCAGTGTTTTTTCAACACTTGAAATCCAGCTTGATTCTGGTCCTTACATAAGCATTTTACAGCAGTATTTGTTTACTGTTTAGGGGTGCTATTGACTCTTTTGTGCCATGTCTTAAGTCTATCATGCAGTGCATAGGAATGTAGGGTGTGGTTTCATTGACAGCATCACTGGTCTGTTGAATCTTGGGTCTGTTATTGGCCAAAGCTGATCCAAGAATGAAAAAGGAAAAGTATGTGCAGTGTCTAATTCATTGTTGCATTGATCCTTTTGTGGCCACCAGAATAATCGGTTTATACTTGATAGCTGCTGTGCTCTGATAGGAGCTTGTGCCTTGGATACTACAATACAGCCTTACTGTCACAGGCTCCCCAGATGAGGAGCGTGGACTTCACTATGGGCAAAGCCTGAACTTTTCAGAGAGCTCATGCAGTTTATGGTCCTATTTACCCTTGCTAGTGGATGTTTTTTGCTGTTCAGCCATCAGAATGCTAGATCTGAAACTGAGTCCTGCATTGGTTCTTTGTTATGAGGCATCAGCTTCTCTAGATGTAGTGGTGGGAGCAGACCTGTGCTGGAAATACCTCAGAGATAGTATTAGGGGAAGTCATCATGCAGAGTTCGTAGTTTCTTTGAGAACCTCAATTCATTTCTCTGGTCTTTCCATTCCTAAAAGGACACTCTGCAACTGTGGTAAATTTGACAAAATGAATAAGGTACTGCCACTTCATATTCAGGATTCATCATTTTTAGAGAGGAAAGTTATGAGGGGTTTGTGTGTGGTTTGTTTTTCTTTTCATAGGAAAATGTAGTATTTAAGCCATGGTTACCCCAGTGTGTATATTTCTTGGAGTATTAATTCATTAATCTCTAAAATAAGAACATTTGGCACTTGTATTGCATTTTACATGTTCTTAAGCACTGTATAGACCTTACCTTGTTAGGCCTTTGCGGGAAGGTTGATTGGCCCTGCTTGCCCAAAGAGGGGAACTCAGCAACAAAGCTTCAAAGGTGGAAAGGTTTGGTAGGAGGAATTGAGGAGGATGGTACAAGCGTGCCTGGCTTGAGGAAACTTTTTGTGCCTTTCTGGGCTCCCCCCTTCCTTACTTACTGGGGATTACAGCCCTGCCTTACTGTTTATTTCAAAGAGAGGGAGACGTAAGTGATTAGGATAATTTCTTGGGGGTGGGCATCCGCAGCAAAGGGATTTAAGGACCAAGGATTTGCATTTGTTTACTCTGTGGCTGCTCCCCTATGCCTCCACCTTTCCCCAGAAGTGGTTTGTATGAATTTTGCTGCAGACTGTTTGGAGATCAGGCGCAGGATGTTTCCATCTGGGCAAAAACCTGGGTGTATGCATGTTCAGTTATGGCTCTGTGTGACTTATTCAGAGGCACAGAAGCAAACTGTTCTTGAGGCAGAGTCTCAGTCCAGTGCTGTATTTAGACATCCTTTTTATCTGTGTTCCCAACTGAGAAAAACATTTCAGCACAAGCTTATGTCTATCTCTGGACAAAGCAACTTGACTTCATGAACAAGCCTGAATCCCATTACGTTCTCGTGTAAGATATAACTGCATGCTTAAAATTTGGTACATAGTTTGCTGATTAAGAACAGGCTGTTAAAGCAAGAACAGTTAAGCATGAGTAAGATTGCTCTTTGCATAATGCAGGAGTGGAACAGCTAGTAATGATGAGGTTCCCACTGCTGTATTTTTTGTTTCTAGTGTATTAGATAAGTTGGCACCTATGGGCACTCCTTAAAAAAAATAAATAATTAGAAATCTCAGTATTTGTCAGGAAATGCCCTGCACTGAGGTCACTGTTGCTATTAATATTACAATCACAGTTGCTCGTAGTACTCAGCACTCTTTTTAAAGTATATGCTTGCCTCAGGTGGCTCAAAGTATTTTGCCTGCAGCCCTTTAATTTCATATTCCTGCTTCAAAACAAGTTGAACAAAGTTATTGCTGGATGTGAAAAGGGCACACAAGTATGCGTGCATTGTGGTAGAATTAAGTCTTAGCTAGCTCCAAACGGTGTGTATTTAGGAGGAAAGATTCCAAGGCACACGTGAAAGCACAAAATTGTTAGCATTGTGTAAAAAAAACCATGTTTTTTGCACTGTTAGTCAAGTTCAGCCTACAGGCAGGGCAGTGGAGTTGTTGTCAGTTTACAACAAGACTGAATTTGGCTGCTAGTGTTAATTTCACCAATCTGTTACTTATTGTAAATGTTGTTAATATTTTTTGTACACACATTATAACCTTTCCATAATTCTGTTGTTGCCAGAGTCGTTATCTCACTTGAATTGTCATTAACAAGAGCAGTAATTAGGAAATGCACACTTTTTGTAAAACTATATTCCCCCTCTTAAATACAAAAGAAAAAACCCCCACACCTCTTATTTCCATCTTCTGATAGTCCATGGTGTGTGTTCATACTGCTGCAATAAATTTAGTATAAAATATTTTAGCTTTGGGAGCACTTTGAGCGTAAGGGATGATGAACTTGGCAGCAGCGATTCCTGGAACTGCGCTCCCACGTTGCAGTGGGGCAGCCTGGCTGAAGCACCCGTCTCTCC